AAAGAAAGAAAGAAAGGAAAAGAAAAGAAAAAAAAATGATTTTAAAATTAAAGTTTTAAAAAAGAAGAAAAATAAAACATCGCTACCTTAAATTAGAATTACAAAGTTTCATTAGCTCAGCACCTACCTAGAATCTAGTTCTGAAAAATTTGACGTAAACAATTTTGAGTTCCAGAGCATGTCAAGCTATTTCGAATGCAGTTCTTTGAATATCTTGAAAAAGACTCCGAACAATTTTGCAATTTTGATAGAGAAGACAGAACGTTTGGTTTATGACCTCATGGTGTTAATAACTCGAACGGCCAAAAGTGTCATATTGATTACAGAACTAAGTAATTATTATTTTGAGGTAGCTACATGCTTACCACACTCTTCAAACATTCTATCATCCCCATTGAGACCAAAGTCAAGCTCATTAACTCTATCTTCATCCCCACCTTAACCTACCAGTGCCAGACATGGACCCTGGCAAAAAGTCTGGAACGTAAGATAACCACCTGCGAGGTGAGATGTCTAAGGAGAGCCGTCAACAAAACTAGACGGGGCATGGTCAGAAACAACAAGATCAGAGAAATGGTGGGAACAACACCTGTCCTCAACTACATTCGAAGGCAAACAATCAGGTGGTTTGGACATTTCACACGTATGGCACCTCACCAGCTTGCCAGTAAAGCCTACTTTAGGAAAGTAGCAGGGTTCAAGGCAAGAGGAAGACCAAGAAAGACTTGGATCTAGGGTGTGAAGGATACCCTGAGAACATACAATATCCCACCTAGTAAGGCCATCAAACTTGCTAGAGACAGGGAGCTCTTTTTCCCCTCGACACCCTTGAGGTACAAGAGGACAGATAAAGTTAAGTAAAGTGAGTTATAAGAGGTAGCGAAATGTATGTACCTGGCTCTGGGACGTCCTTGCCTGGGAGCACTTTAAGTGGGAGGGCGGGTTCTGTCATGTCTCAGGCCTAGAGGGGTCTGTGGAAGGAAGAAGAAATGGCACTATGTCTGAGAGAATGAATGGAATGATGATGATGATGATGATGATGATGATGATGATGATGATGATGATGATGAT